CCCCCCCCCCCCCCCCCCATGGACTCTGATATCATGGAACAAGCAAAAAAAAGCACTGGGTCTTCTTGGACGAGGAGATAAAATACTCAAGACAGTGTCCAGCTGCATGTTGTTTTTTTTACACTCTAGTACACGCAAACAATTACTGCCCCTGAACCTTGAACTTTATCGCATCTGATGATCTCACCGCGGAAAAAAGGTCACAGACGGTAGCTAATCAGAAAACGTCATCCGATCCCGCTATCAAATTACACGCACAGCACAGCACCACTTGAGTGTGGGTGGTTGGCGTGCACTCTGTCTGATGCGGCTTGCTCCTTCCTTCCTATCAAATGTCTAAGATCTTTATCTCCCCTCCTTCGTTCCTATCAAACATCTATCATCCTTATCTCTCCTCCTTCCTTCCTATCAAACTTTTATGATCATTATCTCTTCTCCTTCTTTTCTGTGTACATTACTCTCTACCTCTCTCTCTCTCTCTCCCTCTTTCTCTCTCTCTGTCTGTCTCTCTCTCTCTCTCGTAACACCTCTAATCTTTGTCACTTATATGACCTAATTGTATTGGAAGTTCCACAATAATTAAACTCGTACAGACACTGAACCACAAGAGGGGATGAGATAAAATTAAGGAAAGCGTGGGAAACTAACACGTGTATGACGCTGTGTCTTAAAACACAAGACTTCCATTCCCTCTGTCAAAAAACTCTCTCATTTACAAATCCGTGGGGGAAAAGATTAGTAATCAGTCCAACACCTTGGTCTTTTCCCACGGCTTTGAAAAGATGTAGGGAGCACGAGGTAGGGGTAGGCCACGAGAAACATGGAAGAGATGTGTGGAAAGGGACCTGAGAGAGATGAAGCTCACTAGGAAGGAGGTAAGAAGGAGCTTGTATGTGGCCTTTACCCTGCCAGGGTGAAAGGCATTGAAGATTGATGATTGATGATTGATGATTGAGAAGATGTACGAAAAAATAAAAACGGGATCACTGAGCAAGGAGTGCTACTGCTGTTTGATCTACGCCTTAGGATGGCTACGAAAAGCGAACATTTAATTTAAAATTCGGTTTGAGTAAGAGTTTTACAGTACTTGCAACACATTTAAGGTCATTTAGCGCAGAAGATTAGACGTACAAAACCCAAAATGGAGAAGTGATAAGGACGATAGATTTTTGATAGAAAAGAAATGGCAAACCACATAACAAACATAAAAAAGAAGGAGAGATCAGGACGATAGATGTTAGATAGGGAAAAAAAAGTGAATCACACTAGAGTGCTAGCAAATCACCCAAGTTCTGAGCTTCTACTGTGCAAAATACTGGATAGAAAGAGAGAGAAAAAGGGAGAAAGTGAGAGAGAGAGAGAAAGGGAGAGAGAGAGAGAGAGAGAGAGAGAGAGAGAGAGAGAGAGAGAGAGAGAGAGAGAGAGAGAGAAAGAGAAAAGAGAATAAGACAAATTATATTGTTTTGTA